AAAAAAAATTCCATGAAAAAAAAAAAAAAAAAACTTTAGAAGAAACAGTATACAACATCAAATGTTTGAATACTGAACTTCTGGTTTAATAGGGTTCCTGACAAGTTGTCCCCCAAAGTAGCCTGTTCTTCCTTTCTTGGTTAGTTATTGTTAACTGAATAATTTTTAGAATTCCACGTTAATTGTTTGTTGGCTTTTTACCTTTATATATTTGCATTATTTATTTAGTGGTTGCTATAGAGATTACGAGGAGTCCTGGTGGTTCAGTGGTTAAGTGCTCGGCTGCTAACCAAAAGATGTGGGAGAAAGATGTGGCAATCTGCTTTTGAAGATTTACAGCCTTGGAAACTCTGTGGGGGCAGGTCTACTCTGTCCTACGGGGTTGCTATGAGTTGGAACGGACTCGATGGCAACAGGGTATAGGGATTGCAATATGTACTGCTAACTTCTACATTCTGTTTAAAGTTTTTTTTTTTTAATGGCTTTATTGAGGTATAATTGACAAGTAACACACTATACATACTTAAAGTATATGACTTGATACATTTTGACGCATGGTAAATGTGAAACCATCACCCAGTCAAGATAATGATCATACCTATTACTCCAGAAAGTTTTCTCCTGCCGTCACACCTCTCTTCTGTCCTCAAGCAACCACTGATCTACTTACTGTCACTATAGTTTCTAGCATTTTCTAGAATTTCATATAAATGGAATTATATGGTGTGTACTTTTTTTTTTCTCCTGGCTTCTTTTATTTGGCGCAATTATTTTGAAATTCACCCATGTTGTTCTGTGCATCAATACTTCATTCCTTTCCATGGCTGAGTGGTATTGTTCCTTTAATATTGTGATATTAATGGAAAATGGAAAAAATTTACAGCCAGACAGGTTCATTTATCACCCCTCCCCATTCTTTTGCTATAGTTGTTCTATGCATTATGTGTACAGATGTTATAAACCCCTCAAACGGTGTTACAATTTTTATTTGAAATATCGTGTATATTTTCAGGAAATTAATTCTGTCTTCACTGAAGTGGCCACCAGCTGAAATCTCTGCTGCCTTTCTGACCTCAGCTGGGCTGCTTGGAGTCTGTCCTACACGTGCTTATTTCAGGGTCAGCTAGAACTTTGGGCGGCTATATTTGCAGAACTTGGGGCCAAATCTCTCTTTCTCTGAGATATACCCAGCTTTCATGTGTAGAAATGAGAGGTCCTGGTGGTCACATGCTGTGCCCAGCACGGACGGAGGGAGCTGCAGTATCAGTGGTGGGGAGATCAGGCGCCCACTGTGATGGTCCAACACAACTTGTGGACACCATACATGGCTGCACAGTTGTCAGGCCTGATCCTTGGCCTCTCCTGGAGATTCTGTGATTCTTAACTCTTTACAAAAATCCCTTAAGTTCTGGTGTTTGTCCACGAGAGTCCTAACTGATATAATATTGATTGTGTGGCAAAGGATGAGTTACACTCTGGCCACTGAAACCCACCTAAGTGCTCGAGTGTGAAGCATGGCTGAGGAATAAATTGAAGCCTTAGCATTAACATTGACATAGAAACAGAACTTGGCTGTAAGAGAGATGTTAAGTACTAAGTAAATGCATGTGAATTGACTTGTATAACACTGTCAGTTGTTTAAACAATTATTACCTAATTTGATCCCCCAAAGTACCGGTAATCTCCACAATGTGGCAAGTCAGGAATTATTACTATTCCCAAATTGAAGCTTGTCCACGGTCACAGAGCTCATTAGTGCTGCAACAAGACTTGAATCTTGGATCTGTTCACAACAATCAATCCGATGACCCATTATTTATTGGTGTATTTTTAGTTTCTAAGGGGTTGTGGAACAAAATTGACTTTCACACTGTAGTTAGAGGACCCAAGTCCTAAAATAGTTATTGGCCATGGGCAGGTCACTTGGCCACGAGGGGCATCTGTGTCCTTATGTGTAAAATTAAAAGTCTGGGCAAAACGATCCCCAGGTCTCATCTGGCTTTATCCTTCAATGACAAATTAAGGTCTACCTTGGTTTCCTGGTGCTGCTGTGACAGAAATACCACAAGTGGGTGGTTTTAAAGAACAGAAATTTATTTTCTAACAATTCAGGAGGCCAGAAGTCCCAATTCAGGAGAAGTCCTTTCTTGTCTATTTCAGCTTCTAGTAGTCAGCAATCCTTTGAGTTCCTGGGCTGAAACATTCATCTGCCTCCGTGCTCTTCAGATATTGTCTATCTTCCCTATGTATGTACTCACTTCTGTGTCCAAATCTGCTCTTTTTGTAATTCACACAAGTGATAAGGTTTAGGACACACCCTACCCTGATATGGCCTCAGTAACATAAAAAAAAAACCCTTTTCCTAAAAAGGATTATATCCAAGGTATAGGGGTTAGGATTTCAACACATAGTTGGGGCAGGGGGGAAGAGGGGACATAATTCAATCCATAACAGAGTCTATCATGCTTTTTCTATTGACTGATCATTTACATCACTATTAGACTTCAGGAACTACTAATTGTTTCACACATAGTAGGTACTTGATAAATGTAGGCTTCCCTTCCCAGCCTTCCCCATGCAACTTCCTGGTAGAGATAAAGACCCTCTCTTACACAGTGTTTCCCAAACCTGACTAAATATCAGAATCACCTGAGGAGGTAGTAAGACAAATAGATTCACAGGACCCACCCCAGAAACTTGGATTCAAAGGCCTGGAAATCTTTGTTTATAAAGCTCTACAGACAACTGTGAGGAGCCCTGGTGGTTCAGTGGTTAACAGCTCGGCTACTAACCAGGTCGGCAGTTCAAATTCACCAGCCACTCCTTAGAAACCCTACTCTGTCCTATAG